TTGATTTAAGTGCTGCTATTCATCTCAGTTAACTTCCAAATAAAGATGAACTGTTTCACTGCACAGCAGTTTAATATTATATAGCAAGAAACAGTACAGAAGATGAAACTGAAAATCCACATGTCTAATGCTTAATATTTATATCTACCAGGGCATTCCAGAGAAATACCAACTGATCTTTCTTTTGCAGTTCTCTTTGAAAGATAAGGCACACTAACCATTTTATTACAAGGTTTTATGAGATGCTCAGTTAAAAGACCTGGTACTTCCTCCTACCAGAAAGAGCTATTTTCGGTTTATTTTTAGCAGTCAGAGACGTGTTTTGTTAGCAATACCTATGTAATGTGCAGACAATTACAATAAAATATCATCCTTCAAAGAAAGCCACAACAAAGTATCACCAAGAAAACAGATTGTGTAAGTGGCTCTAATGCCTACAAACATAATGGGTCTAGCAGAAATGGGTTTGCAAAAGCAATTTATTGTTCTTTATTTTGTACTTGTGGTTTTGACATTTTGTTTGATTTTAAATTTACATGCAGCTTGGAATCCATCTTCGATGATACATGCAAGACAAAAATTCTTAAGACAAAATAAGGAGTGAGATGAACTGGGTGTTTTGCTGTTCTTTTCTCCTGTCTATCCATTACCTTATCAAGCTCAACATGAAGAAAACTACCCAGTTTACTTTTCTGTCTCTTATGATCAGCTTGCCCCTAAGTGCAAGGAGAGGAGCAGGTTCTGATTAGAGCAGTGGCAAAGTGGAGATGCTCCCTTTACATGAAAATATCAAGTGGCTCATTACAAGAATTGCATTTTAAACTCATAGGAGTGTTACTAACTGTAAAAAGTTATATGCCACAAAAAGATGGTTTAATCCAAGGCAGAATCTGGACAAGCAATCAGCAAAAGGTAATGTTATTACTACACTGTAATACAATCAGCACTCTGTATCCATGTATTTAAGCATCCACACCTTGAAATATATTTTTAAAAATAAATTCCAAAAAGCAAAGCTTGATCTTGCTGTTTTATATAGGGGACTCCATTTTACTACACTATTGTATTTAATGGGACCTGAGCATCCACAGATTTTGGTATCCATGGGGGATCCTGGAACCAAATCCTAACAGACATTAAGGTCTCACTGTACATTTACTATTCAGCACCAAAATGCTTCCCTTTCATATCAAAACCTTGAGACTTCTGTATGATCTACTCAAAGGTGCCACTGCCACCAGCATCTTTTTTTCTTTTTTTTTTTTTTGCAGCGGGGCGGGGGAGCAACTATTCTCATTTTCATATATTCCATATACATTTATTTATATTTTTTCCTGGATGTTTTTTTGTTCCTTTCCAGTTCCACATAAAGGCATGACTACAAGTCCTGGAGAAATTGATCTGTCACAATCACATGGATCTAGCTTCCCTTATGACAGTTTCTGAGCAAACAACCATCTATAGTAAAAGAGGGCAGGGCAGGAACCAAGCTCTATAAATGTGCTTTATGAAGACCAAATCTCCCACCTTTTTCTAAGGCTGAATCACATCACTCCACAGTACAGTCAATGCTTTTTTGAGGCAGTACTCAATATTTTAGCCCTGGCTTCAAAAGGCTGTTCTTCAACGAAACCAACCTTGCATCTCCTAACCCCCTTTCCCTTCCCACACACAACCATACAGGTACAGCTGCATCCATACTACAGAAATAATCTGGTCTGACACCACTTTAACTGACATAGTTAAATGCTATGGAATTTTAGGATTTGTAGTTTTGTGAGGCATTTAGCCTTCTCTGTCAAGAGCCAGGGTGCTTCAACAAACTACCAATCCCAGGTTTCCACAGCACTGGGCCATGCCAGTTAAAGTGGTGTCAAACTGGATTATTTCTGGAACGCAGACAGGGGATATCTTGGCCCCTCAGTACTATTCCTGCAGAAAAGTAATGTTACCTTCCCTGCAAGCAGAATCCTTTCATTATTTACCACACCTGAACTCACCAGGGACTCTCTTCCTTTTCCCCTCACCTCAAAGTGGCACAGACCCAGAACCGGTATGGGTGTGATGGGGGGCTTTGGCTGCATCCACACTGCAGAAATAATCCGGTTTGACACTATTTTAACTGCCATAACTCAAGGCTATGGAATTCTGATAAGTGTAGTTTGTTGTGATACCAGATTGCTCTAGAGCCATAACAAACTACAGTTCCTGAAATTCCATAGCATTGAGCCATGGTAGTTCAAGTTGTGTCAAACTGGATTATGTCTGCAGTGTGGATGCACCCTTTGTTGTTGCTGTGTGCCTCCAAGTCATTTCTGACCTTTGACAAGTTATGTCATTTCTGACTTGTGGCAACCCTAAGGCAGTGAACCTATCCTGAGACACCCCCCAAAACCTCCCCCCAACTCTGCCTGAAAAGTCAGGGGACGGGGACTAGGGAAGTTTTTATTTAGGCAGGCTTTTAAATATAATAATCATGAGAGGGATGGTTTTATACGTGTGTGTGTGTGTGTTTGGTTATGTTTTAACTTTTAGTATGCTTTTTAACCATTTAACTGTTTTTAAATTCTTAAAGTTTTTAAAAAATGTTTTCATTCTTGTGAGCCTTGAGTCTTGGGTTCCTTTCTGGCAGAAAGGTGGCACAGAAATAAATGAAAGATAGAAAATTATGTACAACTCCTGGGGGCTCACCTAGGTAGGTAGATTAGATAGGCAGGCAGGCAGGCAGGTAGGAAAAAAGGAAGGAAGGGAAAGAAATCCACTTCCCAGGGGCTCACCTAGGCAGGTAGGTTAGATTGGTAGGTTATATAGAGGAAGGAAGGGAAAGGGAAGGGAAGGGAAGGGGAAGGGGAAGGGGAAGGGGAAG